GAGACTTACTCTTATCTATTATATACTTAAGATCTCATGACTCACTATATCTGTGATAATTCTCAAGAATTTAAAGAAGAAGATCTAGTCTTTCTTAATAATAAATATATAAAAATAAGATATCTTAATAAGAAGTTGAATTATAAGTTTCTAGAACTCTTCATAGTATAAAAATATATTAACACTTAAGTCTATAAGCTATCACTATTCTCATTATACTATATATATAATGTTTTTCATATCTCTCTTCTAAAATCTTACAGAGTTACAGAAATTAATAATAATTATATATCTTCAGAGATTATTCACTCAAAGATAGATAATACAGATGAAGACTATAATATTAATAAGATTTTAGATATAAAACTTACAAGAGAAAACAAAGTTAAGTTTCTCATACATTGACTTAAAAAAGAATCTCAGTTTAATAAGTGAATAAACTCTGCTCATCTTATTAATACTTAATTATATATAGAGATCTTCTATAAGTGCTACTTATATCAGCTACAGTCTTCTTCACTCAGTAATATCATTCTCAGTATATTAGTTAGAATAATTAATTAAGCAGATATACTTCTCTTATTTCAAGTTCAATATCACAGACTATAATAATATTAATACAGTAACTTAATATAATAATCAGCACTGAATCTAGAGCAGAGCTCATCTCACTAGCATATAATTCTAATATATAGTAGGGTCAGAAGTTCTTACTACTGTAATCTCTAGAGCAGAGCATGTCTCACTAGAAATCTCAGAGCAGAGCTTGTCTCACTGACTATAACTAGAGTAGAGCTCATCTCATTAGCAATGAATTCTCATCAGCTGTAACTAGAGCAAGGCTCATCCTGCTAGCAATGAATCACAAATATTAATGTATCACATATGTATATATTTTTAATCACAGAAGGAAGGACCCGCGGTGAAGATGAGAAGGCAGAATATAAGAATCTTAGAGCATAGAGCATGATCAGATAACTCACACAAGCCTCATCACTTCATATCCACTCACTCATCTCTAGCTTAGATAGCTTCTTCCTCTTCTTCTTCTTCTTCTTCAAGATTCAGTTCCAATATGATCTAGTATACTGCTGCTATCCACCCTGGTAAAGTTAATCTTCATCCCGTAACACAGTTTACCAGTGTTGTCCCGAACGGTTATGACGCACGCCAAGACTAAAATCAAAACACGTGACACTCCATTGTTTACTTCCACAAGGACCAGAGCTTCGACTCTCGACTCTGTACCAACATAATGACAGTATAGCCTCAATTATATATCTTAAAGCCCAGTTACTTGTCCAAATATATTAATGCATCGTTTTAATTCCCTCATGACTTTATTCTCTAGGTTACGATAGGACTTGCGGAGGTGGGGAGAGCTGGCCGCTGATGGATGCGGCAGCGAAGGGTGGTCGTGTTGGATTGAATTGGTATGGCAATGGTGATATTATTTGCCCAAATTGGCGTCGTTAAAAACAATAGTATTAATAGCAGCGCAAAAAGTTTCCCAGATCCAAAGGTCCGCTCTTTTCCTCAGAATGACGATGAATTCGGCCGCTTCGCGTTTAAGACCCTCCGCATCCGAAGTCTCCATCACGTCGAGGTGGTGCAATAGGGCGCTGCGTCCTTTGACCTCCACTATACTGCGCCTGGAAAAACATTGGAAGATAACCCCACTGGGAGCTCCGAATCTGAATGGTACCACTGTATCTGGATCAAGTCAGAAAAGCAATTCGGCGGCCAAGGAGGCGCGAGGAGCTTCCGAGTCCGACTCCGAATCCACCCCCGATGATCCAACTTGGGTCCCAGGGGGTGCCGTGCGCAAGCACATTAGACATAAATATTCCGCTCGTACTGGTAGCCGGTCAAGGGTCGTTGTGAGGAGTCCGGAGACGCTGAAGCTACAACCCGGGGAGTTTTCCATTCCCACGCCGTTAATCAAAGGGAAAAAGAGACAATGTCCGGAGATGGAGGAGCCAAATGGAGATGCAAGTGGGGTTGCGGCCATTGCAGACTCCAATGAAGACTCATCAACTCAAAATTCTCGTCGAGGTCCTATGAAACGGAAATTACCTGCTTACGCTGGATGGAATAGCCAGAGGATTTGGAAGGATTCGTGTAATGAATATAACGACCCGTCCTATATTGCCATAGCGCAAGGGATATTCCAAGTTTGGGATACATTTCTCACAATGACAGCTCCGGAAAAGAGTTCTGGTCCCGGAGCACGATCGCTTATGTCGATGGCTCTGGGTACAACTTCTATGTATATTGCGAGCGAACAGGAAGCTGTGGATAATTGTGAGGACAAGAACGAAAAGGTTGATGTTGCAGATCTTATTTTCACAGAGCTAGAAAGCATCTATGGTATATCTAATGCTGGATGGAAACCGCTTAAGTCGCTCGTCCGCCTCCATGGGATTCGTTTGGTCTGCGACGCGATTCGGCACAGATGGATATCCCCTATGATAGCGCGCCAGCTAGTGCTAAACTCGATCGACTCGGTTTCGTATGATGCTGCGCAGGAAATATTATCAGCTTTGCTCTCTGTTACCCAGAGCATCGAAGGCCCTAGACATCTGGACTGTTCTTTGTTTTCGTCCGGAAGTTTTGGTGTATTTCATACATTAGCAACTTATGTCAACAAAGCTAGCCATATAAGCTTCTTTTTTCGCGAGGTTGGGTCTTTATTGCGGGACGGCATCGTGCCAGTTGAATGGATAGTTACGGAGTCCATGAAACCATTCGTGACTCATGCCCTTAGGTCGATATCATGCGAAGACGACGATTGCTCCGCGTCTGTTTTGTTTATTGTGAATACGATTCTTGCGGCTTCTCGATCGAATCCTCGCTGCAGCTTACCAACCTTAGAATTGGCTGCGGACACGGATAAACTACAAAAATGCGATGAAGGAAGATGCAAACTAGATTCTTCACGTCGTAACCTTCCTGAGAACCCAGAGTCAAAAGCTAATGAACATTTATCACTGGCTTTGAACAACAGCATATCGAGTATTTTAGGCATTCTCTGCAGTGCTCACATCGTACGGTTTACAACCCATTCACCCACTTTCGTACCAAGTGCATCTCCAATGCACCACATTTTGGTTAGAGTTTCAGCCATAATACAGCATGATATACTAGACGCGTCCTTCGATCTAGCACAGGATCGCCCAAGATCAGAGCTGCTACGAGTGGGACATATTTTGATGGCAGATTACATTCTTAAATGCAGCTGGGAGGGCGCCAAAAAGGAGGGACAGACAGCCGTCCCTGGAGCAACAAAACTTTTAAGCACTTTCGAATATTTCACTCGTACATTGAAAAGTCGAAAGGACCTCACAGCCAGCCTATCGACTTTTGTGACGCACGTATCGCACAGTTGCGGTCGAGCACTCAGTGAAGATGGATTCACTCAGCTGCAAATCTTTACTGATGCACTCACAGAGGACAACCTACAACCATATCCTGCACTCAAGGCGCTTCTAGGTAAGGTAGCAGTGGACGCGGCACTAAAATTTGCGGAATCTACTCTTCATCCCGATCACCATTCGTGGGCAGCCCACATACAGACCAAAGCGGCGAGATATTCTAATGGGCCCCTAGGACACGACGAAATCATACCCCTAACTCCGTCGTTAGCTCTATCCAAAACTGGTTATATATGGGAAGAGAGCATCGGAGAGTGGATCGCTGCGGCTCCGGCCAGTGGAGCATACAGGAGTCTGCGAGCATGTAAGGCCCAGAACCAATTCCTGCCAAATCCTCCGGATGAGCTGCCAACTTCAAGTGATGCAGATGATGCGACAGCATCTAGAGGCTCCAGCACATTCTCGGCCTGTTCGGAAGGCTATAACTCGAGCATTACTTCATCAGAATTTACCTCTCCATCTTGGTCTCGGAAAAGGAAGCGCGGTGTCAATTCTCCAAACTTGGTATCAGGAAAACACGCGAGAACAACATATTCATCGTCACTAAAAGCACCTCCTCGCCGGCTACGGTCCGGGAAAAGCCGTTCTTGGAGTTTTTACATCGATGAACGTGAGAGCCATGACTCTAACCTATTGATCTTTGATCGATTCAAGCGCTCGAAAATCACGAAGAAGAAACATTATGTCGTTGAACCAAGTATAACGAAAACAAGGCCTTTATGCCAACGAACGGATATCAATCGTTCATTGCTCAACCCTGCAACTATGGAGGTTAGACTCCCAGGGCCACAGACTGCCGACAAGGCGGTTGAAGTTGTCATCGTCCATGACAGAAAGAAATACATAGACACGGAATCGAGCAGTTTTTTGATTCAAGAGGAAAGGGAGAGAATGCTACCAGGCTCTGATCGCAGTGACTATAACCGTGACTATGACCTTAGCGATCACAATGATGACAGTGACGGTGATGACGAAGATGTCCTGGCCAGAGAACCATCTCCCCGTTACCTTTTGCGGCGCAAAAGTCTCTGTACACCCATCGCTAGCAAGCTATTCTCCTGCGCCACTCCTCCGGGAGCACGCCTCCGGACGACACGATCTTCTACCTCGTTACAAAAACAACCCATCCTGCAAGCAGCGGGTTGTAATATTGTTGGTTCGAGTGATGACGAATTGAGTTTCTTTTGATGGTTTTCTGTTCAGTAATGTATATTCTGATTTTTGATTACTATATTTGGATTTCTAGATTCTGAATATGACGGTCGACTACCTGTCGTCCCTGCTGGTAGACAGAATGGAGAAGTGAAGACGCCGATACACCTTGTTCTGATATATTTTTTTGACACGATACCCTTATTGGATTACCTTGCTTCGCACCTTGTTTGTATTTAGCTTCTATTTTCTGGAGTCCGTTGATTGGATTGGTTCAATGAATATGCATATAGATGGTTGGGAAGAGCCAATAACTTTTAGCAGGTTTTTTGTACAGTACCTTAACTTTTACCATGCGAGTCGTTAGGAGGAGAATTTTGGAGGCCACCTCTACTACCGCCGGCCGTTTCGTTTCTGATCTTAAGTATATGAATTCTTCAGCTATCGCTGAGGTTATGCCTTTTTTTTCATGAAGGTGTAATCTGCACCTGGAAGTCAACTGAGTGATTTGGCACTCACTCATATTTCACTCATCAAGTCATTTAAGTGGGCTTTGGCTAGTTTCTACGTGTGCGTGTATCAATCATGTTCTCTAGCTGCGCATTAAGTGCTTGTGCTGCGGCCCTGTCCCTCCAGCATTTGTGTGAAAACAGTATGAGAAAAGAAAAGTGAAGCTGTAGGGGAGGTGGGACGGCGTAAGGGGGTGCGTATGTACGACCAATGGAATGCAAAATATTGTAGAAGTGAAAGGCAAAAATGTGCATAAATAAAGGGGGAAATATATATATATAAAAAATAGGTAGCAAAATAGAACAAAGCGCCCTCCAGCTTCCCAGGCTCGTTTGATAGAAACATAAGTAAAGCTCATGAATGAAGCCCAGCTACCCTACAAATTGTCGCCAGTAGAAATAATATTATCATATCCCAGTCCCATTTGTGATTACAGGTTTTATCGGGTGTTTGATACACTCCTGAATCATGCTCCGGAACTCCTATCTGAAAAACGCCTCGTAATTTCTTCCCTGGGCTAAAATTTCTCGCTAGTAAAGCACCGTGTCAACCTAACCAGGAACCATGCAATAAACTTCACTGCGACAGTAAGGCCCCAGACCATAGCTTTTAATCCCCAGAGTATCAGCTTCAGCACGGATCTCGCGATACCGGGTAATTCCTCTCCTTCGTGAGATCCGCTGCTATACCGTCCGTAGTTTTCAAGGTCGATCTCCTCAACCACAACCGGGATATTTTTATTCTTACTTTTTTTCACTCTTGTCTTCTTCTCGGATGAGTAAAACGACGACCTTCTCCAAAACGCAAAACTCGTCTTGCGTTTGGGGGAGGAATGAATTTGTGACATCAGTTTAGCTTCTTGCTCCGCCTCATCACGCTCCGCTTGCGTCGCGATTAGCTTGCCGTTGAAACGTGGTTGTGAGGAAGTTGCCGAAGGTGCCCCCGGGGGTGCCACATCATATGGGTCAGGGAATTCTCCTTTGCTCACAGCTGCTTCAAAGCTCATACCACCCAGGATGTTTCTAATATATTGATCCGTCGCTGCCATGATGAGGATTGAGGCAACTAAGGAGTCTATGCAATATAAGGCTGGGATTGTGGAAGATATTGTACCCGCTGCAATTGATAGATTCATTGTCTCCAAGTCTAGAGCTACCAATGGAGTGTCCTTAGTCGAGTCTCGGCCTGGGATTGTGACAAGGATTGATGGAGGATGGCCTAGCTCTGCGCTATCTGTTGTGGAGGCGGAAACCGTGAGGTGTAATATTTGGCCCCGTTTATTTATGATAGGGTATCCTTGGCGTTGGACCTCATTTTGCTGGTCGTCACTTGGATGATTAAACAAAGCCTGATGCTGAACGTCGTACCGACCATGGACCCCATTCCACTCCAGTATACAAGTCTCCTGTGCTTCTGCCCGCCTAACAGCATCGTCCTCCACTTCCATTGCGTCGGTTGGAGCTAGTTGGTGTTGCCTTGATAAGCTCAAGGCCTGATCTCTGGCCAAGATCCCCGCCAACATAGGAAAAACAACCGTAATAAAACCAGCACCATTAGGCCTGTTAATTTCCGTGCTGTTGAGCATAACAATGGGAGACTTGGTATGCTCTCTGGTTGGGTGAGATCTTTGAATGTCCACGTCACCCATTGTGTTAGTTTTGAGTGTATATAGCGTCGCAGATTGGTTTCCAAATGTGTATGTGAGATGGTCCACTCTGTAGGATCGTTGATTAGCAGAGGGCTACAAGGTGAATTTTGCAAGATTGGATGTCAACTCACTTGGAAAGGCGCAAGTAAAATGTTCCAAGTTCAGGCTGCGGCCCTTCTCCATTTGCAGCCTCCCATAGACGTGTGAGTTGCTCGGACGACGAAAGCTTCACAGCTGTGGCTAGTTGGGTGGACTCGCGCATCGTGTGAGGAAAAGCAGATTGTTGAGAGGCCACACTGGGGCTGTAGTCAGATCTTGAGATAACTTCCCGTGGAAGATCGTTAGGCGCCGAACGTTGGGGATAGTAACGTTGCTGATTCAAAGGCAGGTTGGGATCGTAACGAGGAAATATTGACCTCATTGGCATTGCTGGTGAAGTAGGTGATTTGGACGGTGAGTTAAGCATGGTAACCTCAATTTGGACAGGAGATCCAGATCGAATAGGCTCCGGTGAAGCGGACCCGGGAGGTGGAGATTTGCCATTATTGGACCCGTTTGGGGATTCTGCAACTCTCGCTTCTTCTCCTGGTTTCGCACGGAGGGTGGGGGAATTTGACCTCACAATATGAACAGGCGGGGGAGGTGTTAGAGTGGTCTTATTTGTGTCCTCGATAATTTGAAGAATGACGGCTTCGGTTTGGGAAGATTCTTTCTCGTTTCCCAAGATTGGTGAGACCACTGGAGACTTCGTAGCGCGGCGTCGATGGCCTTTTCTGAATGGATTACCATTTGGTCTATTTTGCGGCTGCACCTGAGGGAAGAGCTGAAACTGGGTTTGGCTCGCCATTCTTGCCCTCAATTATTGAAAGCGAAGGCCAGGCCAACAGCGATGTGCAACGAGTTGGCAGTAGAAAGAAACTCACAGCCTGTAAGTTTCGCAGGGCTTTGGGGACGTCTTTACTTGAGCGAGAGTTGTGAGAGCCCAAGGATAAGTAAGGGAAGGCCCATACGCCAGAGGGCGAAACGAGGATAACGATCCAAGCTTGGGCTGGCCAGCATAACAAGAGGAAGAATAAAAATGATTAAAGTGGAGGGGAAGATAGAATATTAAAATGGAGAGGAAAGTCCGCCTTCAGTGGAAACGACATTTTTTTCAATGCATAGCAGAGGTCCTCCACAAAAAGCGGCTGATCAATAGGAAAAGCTCAATGCAGGATGTAGAGGAAAAAACCCTTGCGTTCTCCTGCCATTGCGCCGAGCGCAATAGTTTGACGCCTAGCATGAAGGAAGGATAGGTGGAATCTATCCGCACACCAGCCCTGGGGACCAGTGGGACGGGATTGGATGGATGTTAAATCCCATCACCAACATAAAATTGCTTTTTCGGGTTCAAGTTCCTGGCGCTTTGCAGGAAGAACCAAGCTAGAGCAAAGAATCGGTGAGACTAAGTATTGTTCAACAGTATTCGAAGGCCGCATCACGTTCGTCAGACCTCGAGGAAGAGATCTCGAGATACCTGCTGCTGAACGTGAGGTCAAGATGATTGGAGGCTATCCCTGAAAGTACATCAACTGTTCGGCGCTTCGAAGTTCGAAAGAGTGACTCTGACCAGGGGCTGCGAAGCTGGTGGTTGGTGTCCTTTTCTTGGCACTGCCCGACTGGAAAAGTAGTGGCTTTAGCAGAAACGCTAAAGGAGCGCGGCGCAAAGGGCGCGGTTGCTATTGGGCAGGAGAGCTTTGACGAGGCTGTTGTTGAGATCGTGACGTCGGTTAGTTACTAAAATAGGAAAATATATATCACGTGATGGTGTTACATGACCGCGCGAAGATAGTCCTCCAATAATACGAACGATTGGGTGGGATGGTGCAGGCTGATCACATCGCTGCAAGAATCGTTATGCGCCGGACAGGCACATCCTTCAGAGGTGCAGTGAGGCCTGGTATCAATTCCTATTCGCTTCGTCAATAGCCCAACCGACGCCAGAGAAGGTGGAGACTCAGATGCAATAGTTGAGAATATCTGGATAGGAGGGAGATATTGGTCAAAACCTCCGGAAAATAGATTAATGGATCTGGAGTAAATAGTGTACAAATTCGTTCCCCGCTATCTAGGGAATTAAAGCTATTCCTCCGACACAAGGCCTTCTGCCATCCTGATAGCACCTTCCATGTCACCCTTGTTGTATAAAAAGAGCCCTTGCAGGGCTGCAGCACTTGTGGCACTTTCCGCTGGAATTTTGTGGCCATTCTCATCCTCTATAATACCCAACTTATAAAGCTTTTCCAAAAACTGAGTCTGATAGAAACCCGTCTTGTCAAAATCGCCGTAAAACCGCTCCCAGAGTTGTGCCACTTGATACCTTGTAGCTTCGCCAAGTCTGACGGTCATATCCACACGGCCCGGTCGGACGAGAGCCTCGTCAAGCCGCTCAATGTGGTTTGTCGTCAAAAAAATTATGCGTTCTTCAGCACTAGCCACGCCATCAAGCGCATTAAGGAGGCCTGAAAATGTCACATTGGCTCCCCTATATCCATCGGCGTCGGACTGCACGCGCCGGTTCCCGAAGGCGGCATCTACATCTTCCAATAGTACCAGGGTGCGGGAAGGTATGATGGTGAGAAGGTGGTTCAGGCGATCGTCGGTCAGACCTCTCTCGCTCAAGTTGAGGATGGCAATGTCGTAATCCAGCTCGCCCGCGAGTGCTTGAATAAATGAGCTCTTGCCGCTGCCCGGTGGACCATGAAGGAGATAACCCCGTCTATAAGGAATGCCGCGATCATAGTACCAGGATCCACTCTCGAGAAAATCCTTCACATCATCCACAATCCGTTCTTTAACCCCCTTATCCAAAATAACGGATTCCAACGGCCTTTTGCGCCGAGATTGGCCAAACTGCCTCCACTCGGTGCCCCAGGAATTGTATATTACAGTTTTCCCTTCTTGCGACCGCGCAGCGTACTCGTGGGCCTCCTTAAATAAGTCTTCAAAAACATGACGTTGAGAATAGAGCGTAGTTAGGGTAACCGTTTCCCACGGTCGTCCGGTTTGGTGGTCTCTTGATTTGGCTTCTCGCACGCGATTGACGAAGATAAAAGCGTTTTTATACCGGAGAACATGTTTGCCAGGTCCAGGTATAAGTGCAAATTGTGTATGCATCGCGCCATTGGGATGTTCTACTTTCTGCGTCTGGATCGACAATTGTCGCATTCCTGGTGTGAGTCTCCGCAGGAGGGAATCGACGAAGCCGGATTTTTGGGCGGTCGGTGCTCTTTGAAGTTGCGACCGTTGATATAAGGTCATCCAATGTAGAAACCAGCCGTACGAGTCATCCTTGATATTTATTTCCACTTCGACAAGCATGCGCCTACGGAGGAGAACAGCTCCACGTCTAATCCCCCGCTGGGCAAGTGTCAGGCCGGCCCCAAGGCCTGCAAGACCAAAACCCTATCAGTACCATATCCATGTTAGCCTATAGAAGAACGATATCCACGCTACTCGATTGGTATAACATACTGCTGTAAAGAAAGGGTTGCTCGCGAGCTGCGAAAAGAGCCCTTCATTTGAATTCAGCTGTGGGAGCTGTCTTTGGGCTCTCGCCTGGACAATCAAGTCATTTTGATTTGTTGGTTGGGCCAGCGCCTGCCCCGTAGCTTCCATTCCAGTGGAAATGCCTTGATCAGCATCTTTGCCCGACATATGTTCGAATCATTATGGGGCTCAATATGAAAACTGTTCTGTCTGACAAAACCAAATTAAGTAAACCTCAAAAAAAAATTGGTATCGGCGAACTGAAGGCACTAACCCAAAATAAGGCTTGGGCTTGGCATCTCAGGAACCCTAATTGGCCAATTTCAACGTCTCCCATATTTCCGCTGTGGCGATGCGCCAAAGACTTAGGTTAGGGCATGCGATTTTGGTGCTCCTTTGTTTTTTTTACCTTTTGCTTTTTTCTTTAAGCAAGCTGGACCACCCCGAGTGGACACCAGATTCTACGTTCCAAAATTTTGAAATGCACCTATGTATAATTGTGAGGGACAATGGGAGCTGATCTGGGTCTGAAGAGTTCCCAACATGCTTCTTCATTTCCATCTATTTCATCCTTTGTAACCCCTATGGAGATCAATCCGCAGCTCTTTGCCATCCCTGGTCACGCAATCATCTCAATCACCCTACCACCTCGGTTGCGTACAACTGCGGATGGAGCGGTGAGGCCGATGCCCTGACACAAAAATGAGAACCAACCTTTTTAGGCGCAAAGGAGGCCACAAAAATGAAAGTCGTTCAATATAGATTTTGTGCATCAAGTTCCCGAGCATGCTAATCGTTCCCTGGCGATACATTGAAGGGACTCTTTTTCCGATGCAACCTAGGCCGCAATTACAGGAGAAGGCCCCCCATTCTTGTATGCGGCTATTTTCTGTATAGTGATCGTGTTTTTATCTACGGTCTATAGCTCCAGATATTGAAGAAGCTGTTTCCGTTGCACTTCCTCACCTTACTAGCTAATTTTAAATTGAATTGCCGATCGGGTAAAGACATTAGTGGGAGAAAACATATGTAATGTTCGTCACTGTCTAATCTTCTGGTTGAATTGACGGCGGCCATGGATCTATGTATGAAATGATTAACAGAGAAATAGATATTCACGGATCTTAGCATAGTAAATTCCATACTTTGATTTTGCATTGAGCCATCACGACCCTGGGTGCTTTATTCATTTTACGCCTACCGAACGCAATTGGCCGGACCAGGTATATTACTCTTAAATCCACAGAACTTTGGTGCCTTCTGGAAATAGTATTTTTCATTGACGGAGGGTGTAGTATCCACCACCTAACAACGGTTTGAGAAGTGTCGGGTCCCCGGCATTCTTTACTAGTATTATTCTTGTTGGACGCGAATTTATCGAATGCTCTCATAACATTGATGAATAGAATTACGATGCTAAAACAAAAAGCGGTACGAAAGACTGTGTGCCTATTGTGCTCTGTATTGAGAGGTATATAATCATATAAAGTGAATAATCCGCACAAGTGCCCGAAGAACAGGAATGAGGGATAGATTCATAACGCTGTCTCTAATTTCTTTGTGTTGCTTTGATGTCGCGTACAACATCCTCATCACATACAACTGAGCGACGTAGCTCCGACACAGCCAGAAGGCCAGGCGTCAAAGTATCCATGTATCCATGTTCTATGGAGAGACTCATCTGGTTCCCAGAAGAAGGCTAGCTGGTTACAGGGCAGGGGGACGACTGCGCTTTTGAAGAGTGGCAAGTTGAATTTCGCACAGCACACTGAGCAGCAGATGATAGCCGTAGAAGGAAATGACAGAGGAGTGCTCAACCAGGGAACAGAGGGATCAACACAAGTTTCTATTCCGAAGTAGCCGCGAGAGGCCCAGTGACGACGATTCCGACACGAACAGAACATCAGTGGCGTCAGTTCAACAGGGGGAAGAAGTGTTATATGAGATCGACCCGCGAGCGTTGAAAAAGCTACCAGAGCGTCTTCAGAACAATTATCGTCAGCTATTTCAGGAGGGAGTCGAGAGGCTGACTCTGAAGAACCCGAACTTCAAATACCGCCCATACGACTATATGGACCATTGGCCGCAGGGAACTTTTGAGCCAGAAGAAGAGGAGCAACCAAGAAATATAAAAAGACAATATCCGAGGAAGCATAACTTATTGCAGGAATTGGGGATTATACATGTTCCGCAGTCGCAGTTCACCGACTAGAGGGGTCAATTACGCGTCATGACACCGGATCGATCGCCTTTCGAGGACTCATCTCGACGAGACCCAGAAGAATACAAAAAAAGTGCTGAACATAGCGGAAAAAGGAAATTCAAAATAGCCCATCCGAAGCAACAAAATGATAGATAGGGCTTCAGCAGTGCTGTTTGGTACAGCATCAGAGAAAGGTGGATTACCGAAGATGGAGGAGCTGTGTCCTGTCAAGGGAAAGTAGATAGCCATTTTCAGGCGTGGAGAAGTTCAAACCATGTATTCAGCTACCAGCCACATGGGAAATGGCGACGAAGAACACCACAATGTGGGATATGCAAGCGAATCCTGGTTTAGAGGAAGTTGTTGCACCAAGTGCTCATATGTTTTGGGGTTAGTTGTTACTCCAGTGAGGAGATAGCCGTTCCAACCGACTGGCCGGATATTGGGATATTAGGATACCATATAAATAGAGCTGAAGTCTTAAATACTCCTCATAATTTTCTCCGAGTAGTTTCTGTCGCCAGTTGAACAAAGCCGGCAGTCACGGTGTTTTCAATGCTGAACGATGCCCTTGTCATCATCAAAGCTTGATGCGCTAGGCTGCTTTTAGCCTAGACTGCAATTTGCTGGGCCTTTCCCACTTCAAGAAAAAAAGTGACAACATCAGTTGACGCCAAAAGTGTCAGGTCACGTGATCTGGCTTACTAATCCTTCCACCATATAACTTTCCACAAGCTAGCAACCTTTCAATCACACAAGCTTTACACCTTTCACAGATTATGAGACTTGTTTTGTGCAAAATCACTGCCAATTCAGAATTCCTTGTCAATATACTCATTATTTAAACTACTGCTTCATTCAATACACTCATCAGAAGTTAAAATCATCTTATTCTATCAGTATTGATGTGTTTGAGATCTTGATAATCAATAATACTACTACTCACTTAAAAAAGAGACTTGCAGAAAACATATCACATTTGTAAAAAAGCAAGAAAAGAGAACAATATTGACAAGGATTTAATAAATAAATATTAAGATAGCAGATTCAATACAATCTCACTTATATACATATTCACAATCTTGTATTCTTTTCACTGAATCAGTTGCAGTTAATGATGATAATTCTTTACACTTATACTCTGTCAGTGAACATTCTTCTGAAGTCTTTGAAAGCTTCATTGATAAAAGCTTCATTATCAAAACACTCTCTTAATTTGAAGCTGATTTGAATACAGCTTCTGACACAGTCAGACTGATCTCTCAATCTACTTAACAGCTTGATAAAGCTGATTCTCTTGATAAGAATAATAAACACTCAGATGTCTATTATTCAGATGAGATAATATCAGATCAACAGATAAAGTATCTCAAGATAATACTTGAAATGAATAAGAGAAAGCAAAGAGTTCTAGAACTTGAACTATAACTGAAAAAACTCTGTCAACAGAGATTCTCTACAGATTGATCACAGAATGTTAATAATCATTCTATCACTATATTCACAGCCTGTATAGTCACATGAAATTCTAATCTCAGTGAAAGGTTGAAATTCAATCTTTATAAACTGAATAGCTGTGTTGATAAGACAATCTCTCAATTCAAGAAAGATGTCAAGAATACTGTGAGATTAAACAGTCTATCTGACATATTCAATTATATTATATAAAGTATCTTCATGAAATTGAAACTGGTTGATGCACAGTGTTAATATATAATAGAGAAATGACAGACTCAGAACTCTCTATAAAGAGATAATAAATGAGCATTATTCTGAGATATCAGAAACCGGTGACTCTACACATTCATCTCAAACTTCTTGAGTGTAGGTGTCAGATCATGTTTCTTCAAGTATGATGAAAATTGAATTGCTTATACTCTATGAAATGCAATTGAATAGAAATACTCTGTTCTTAAAACACAGTTACACTGTGAGACAGTTCTGAAATTCATGTCTCTTGATAATATATAGATCATCAATCTACACACATTCTTTGATAAGTTCTGATCTGCTATTATGAAATTGAAGATGTTGAATGCTTCTCTCTCAGATACATAAATATTTAATATCTTCTACTCAGTTCTACTCAACAATTGAAGAAATTACATTCAGAAGAAGATAGAGAAGATACAGGATTTTAAATTCACAGCTGTGATATTGAATGTTAATCTTCTTATGAAGGAAATCTGTTCATGACTTGATTCTTCAAAAGATAAAAAGAATCTATAGAATATAGATTCTGCAGCTAACTCAGTTATAACAGCTATAACAGCTACAACAGCTACAACAGTCACACTGACTATCAGCAACAATACATTGAATCCGGCCTGTGAAGACTGTACTGAATATGATCATGACAGTATATAAGAGAGCTTCTGAAATTATTGAGAATTAGAAAATTCACCTACATATTCTGAATATGAGAGATCTTACTTTGACACCTGTTAATTGATCAATTCAGACAGTACTTCAGATAATTGAAGAATAAACAATACTGTAAGAATAAAGAAATTCAAAGAAAAGAAGAAAAAGAACAATAGTAAGAATAGAACTCAACTATTTATTACAGATAAATCAGAGATCTATCAGATGATAAATCTCACAGAGATTATTAATATATCAGCCTGTTTCATGAAATCTTATAAGAATTCTCTCACTATATGAGATAGTGGCACTGAATGCTACATAGTAAGTGATAGATCACAATTTTTAGAACTTATAGCAATCAATGATTCAACAGTTCAAGTGACTAATAAGATCATTATAAAGATTCAGAGTGTCAGCACTGTATTCATCTCAGTGAGTGAAAGATTAATAGAATTCAATTATATATACTATATATCAGAACTATTCACAAATCTGATCTCTGCTGAGCTTATGAAATGTCAGAGCTATATTCACTACAATATACAAGTTAATACTGAAAACTACTTTGAGTTTCTGTTATCTATTAACAGTGATATCTTCTACATTAATCTGTTCTATAATAATATTTACATTCTATCTGACAGCTCACTGACATTTTATGAGATAATGAACAACTTAATGTATAAAGCAGTGATATATATAACTGTTCTGAAATCAAAGATAATCTCAACAGATTACAATCTGAATACTGAGTCTTTGAGATCTTTCAACTGTGAGAAGATTGAACAGTTAATCAACTCTAAGAATTCAGATACTGATTTCTTTATTATTTTATCTTTATCTTGATTATCTGCAGTTCTTCTGAAATAGCTTCTGATAGATGAGTAATATCATCAACTTAATCATATCAGTGAAAATAGTATATTAAAAATAATCAGAGACTTATGATTTAATATTATTATTATCAGTCTGAAGAAATTATCATTCTGTGTCATATATATTAAGTCTAAATAGAAACACACTTTCTACAAGAATTTCACACCATGTTGTATCATCTGCAAGGCCTTGAAGATTTAAGTGAATATATTCAGTGATGATGAGACTCTTGAAACTGAGAATGATATATCATCTTATACTGGCAAGAAGCTTGTAATAATGATAATAAATAATGTCATCTGTATAAGATAAATATTTCTATTGAAATACAAGAATGAGATGTTGAGATATCTACAGATCTTCAATCAATTTATTAAGAATCTGCTGAGATGTAGCATTGCAATCATTTACTCAGATTATAAAGAATTGAATTCAAATACAGTCATGATATACATGCTCAGTGAAGATATAAAATAAGAGCTGACTTCTCTCTATACTTTATAGTAAGATGAAGTATCTGAATAATTAATCAGTTTGATCATTGAGAAGTTCTGATCACTATTAATAGACTCTTCAGCTCTGAAAAAGATGTGAGATGAGATAGTTATTACAGTCACAGAGCTGCTTAATCTTATATCAATCTTAACAATATTGTATAAGAGCTCTGAAAATACAAAGTCAATTACACTGTATAAGATCTGACTTGAAGCTCTATCTTCTACACATGACATTTACTGATGAGATTGCAAAGTATTCTTGAAAATAGTTTTCAAGCTTATCAATAAGATGACTTCCTGTTTCAAAGAGTTGATTTTTATAAGATATGATAATTTTATTAATTATAGATTGATGAACCTCTTCAACAGATATTTATATATATCAAAAGACATCATCTTTCAGAAGAATCTTCATCTTGTCAATTCATTAATACTGACTACAACACACAACTCAAAGATTCTACTTAATACAGCTTATAAAGCAGCTGCAGTAATTTCTTTGATAATATCAGATTTACTCACTACAGTCTGTCAAGAGACTGCAGTGATTTCTGATTTATCAATTAATAATCTATTCATTGATAAGGAAATTCAACCTGAGTGTTCATTATTTCTTATACTCACTAATAATTAGTGAATTGACTATGATATCTTTATAAGAATATCTATCTTTTTAGTACAGAATACACTGAACTTCTCAGAACTCACAGTTGAATTTAATAACTCTCTGATATTTACAAGAGATATCACTATAGTGAGAGAATCAACAATGAGAAAATCTTCAGTAAGAGATAGTCTTAAAGATTTATTCACTGATTCTAAGATCACTGCACTTCTGATTCTGAAAAATCTCACACATATCAAAGCTTTTATTATTATTATTATTATTATTATTATTCTTCCATTATACTCATATGCAAGCGGAGCTTATGATGAGTCCTTGCGTGATGTTAAATACAGGTCAAGTGTTGATTATACAGGAGGAAATACAGGTGTTGAGACCACGCCAAGATAACAAGAACATAGGAAAATACAAAGAAGTGACAATTAGATACATGCGATAATAACTTCCCAGCCCAGGAACATAGAGCAATTCATTGAAGCGATTTGTACACCTCTGTATTTATTAGGAACCTGAGGTGCTTGAGTTCCGGATTTAATGTATCCCCTGCGGGTTTCGAACCCACGCGCCTTGGTTTCCCACGCCAAGGTGCTACCGGGTGGCCGCATTAACCATTCGGCCACCGGGGCTCAAAGCTTTTATGAAAT